TGCATGGCTTCTGATTGTGTTAGAAATAGCCAGGGCTCATATCCATCCACCCAGACCTTCATCACTCTTTTAGCCTACACACACACACACACACACACACACACTCACTCAGACCTTTTATGGGGTGTTTTTTCCTTAGGGTGGCTATTGATTATTTTAATCTGGTTTCACCTGCACAACTATATTGGAATTACTGAGACATGGAATTAAGCAACATAGCAAATTATGTCATTTTAGGAAAGAATTTTAGCCTTTATTAAAAGTATAATGTAACTTTGAAAATTAAACAAAGTAATATAAAATAAATAAAAATTAATATAGATCTTGGACATGATTTAATGTTAAAAAGTTATATATAATATGTGTTCAGATTTTAAACGAAACTTGTTAGACTAGTAAGATGTAATAGAATCACCTTCAGGATTGCATTTATTTTTCAGAAAGAGAGAAGAACAATGCAATCACCTCCACTATATTTAATAGGGTCTCTGGGAAGTGTTTGTATCATCAGGGGAATAACTGAATCAATTTTCTATTACTGGTGTCTGTGAAGGTGTGATATCACAAGACTAAGATGAAATGAGAATTTGTCAACCACATCTGTAACACCTAGCTAACACAATGTTTTTAAAGGCAATGCCTTAGCTTTAACTTTTAACTTATCTGTAGTACTACCTAGATATAGAGATTAAAAAGGAGGAAAAAACAAAATAAATCTGCTGCACACCCCCTACCGAGGATCGAGCCCGAAACTGAGGCATGTGCCCTGATTGGAACTGAACCAGCGACCTCTTGGTGCATTAGAAAACACTCAACCAACGGAGCCACACTAGCCAGGCTATAAAACATCATTAAAAGAGATCATAAAAGACATAAAATGGAAAAATATTCTGTGTTCATTGATTGGAAGAATCAACATAATTAAAATGGCCATATTACCCAAAGCAATATACAGATTTAAAGCAATTCACATCAAAAAAACTCAATGTCACTTTTAAAGAAATAGAATCAGATTTTAGGAAATCTGATTAAAGAAATTTCATTAGATTTGTATGGAACCGCAAAAGACCCTGAGTAGCCAAAGCAATTCTGAGAAAAAAGAGTGAAGCCAGAGGTATCACACTTCCTGACTTTAAATTATACTACAGAGCTGTGATAATCAAAACAGCATGGTATTGGCAGAAAAACAGACACACAGATCAATGAAACCGAATTGAGAGCCCAAATATAAAACCGTATGAATACGGGCAGATAATTTTAGGCAAAGGAGCCAGAAACACACAATGGAGAAACGCAAGCCTCTTCAATAAATAGTTCTGGGAAAATTGGAAAGCCCCTTGCAAAAGAACGAAACTAGATTATAGTTGGTCCCCATGTACAAAAATCAACTCAAAATTGGTGAAAGACCTAAATATAAGATCTTAAACAATAAATTGCATAGAAGAAAATATAGCTACCAAACTTATGGACCTTGGTTGTAGAGAACATTTTACTTCCCAAAGGCAAGGGAAGTAAAAGCAAACATAAACGAATGGGACTATATCAAACTAAAAAGCTTCTGCACAGCAAAAGAAGCCAACGACAAAGAGGCAGCTGACTGAATGGGTGATATTTGCAAACAATAGCTGACAAAGGTTAAATATCTAAATATATAAAGAACTCATAAAACTAAACACTAAACAAACAACCCAATTTAAAAATGGGCAGAGGACCTAAACAGACACCTCTCCCAAGAAGACATACAATGGCCAACAGATATATGAAAATATGTTCAACCTCACTAGAAATTCGGGCAGGGGTGGGGAACCTTTTTTCTGCCAAGGGCCAATTTGATATTTATAACATCCTTCACGGGCCATATAAAATTATCAACTTAAGTATTATGTTGCTATGAAAAAAGCTCCTAGATTTATTGAATTTCGAGTCCCGCCTGCAATTTCCTTGGCAGGGCCAGACCAAAAAATATGGCCTGCAGGGTCGGATGTTCCCACCCCTTAATTAAGGAAGTGCAAATCAAAACTACAATGGGATACCACCTCACACCTGTTAGAATGGCTATTATCAACAAAACAAGTAATAACAAGTATTGGAGAGGTTGTGGAGAAAAGGGTTTCATTCATTGCTGATGGGAATGTAAACTGGTACAGTCACTATAGAAAATAGTCTGGTGATTCCTCAAAACATTGAGAATAGAGGTACTATATGACTCAGCAATCCTTCTCCTGGGTATATACCTGGAAAGCTCGAAAACATGTATTCCCAATGATACATGCACCACTATGTTCATTGCAGCATTTTTTACTGTGGCTAAGACATGGAGACAACCAAAGTGTCCTTCCATAGAGGATTGGATACAGAAGACGTGGTACATATATGCAATGGAATCCCACCCAACCATAAAAAAAGATGAAATACTGCCATTTGTAACAACATGGATGGACCTTGAGATTATTATGCTAAGTGAAATAAGGCAGTCAGAAAAAGGTAAGAGCCATATGATTTCACTCATATGTGGGAGATAAAACTGAAACTAGTGGACACAAACAGCAGTGTGGTGGTTGCCAGAGGAGGGAACGGGGAGAGGGAAGGGGGTGAGGGTGAAGGGAGTATATGTTGATGAAAGATGATTTGACTTTGGGTGGTGGGCACACAGTGCAATATACAGATCTTGTATCATAGAAATGTAGACTTGAAACCCATCTGATCCAATAAATTTGATAACAAAAATATCATCACTAAATATAGGTAACACCATACCATGAAACAACAAATTTAATTTAATTTTGTTTCTTTCTAAAAATAGAGTCTAATATGTCCATCTCAGAGGACAAATTTAAGCAGTTGGTTTTTAAGCACCTTGAAAAATTAGATATTTGGCCCTACTCGCAAGCTAACAAGGCCAGTTTCATAGATGCTGGTAGAAGATACAAAACTCCTGGGTTAGAGTTAAAGACTGTCACTCAGGTGCAACAAGCAGTATGAGCATCAGCTTATTCTGTGCTGGTTTCCTGAGCTCCATCCAATTCCCACAAGCCTAAGCGAAGAGGGTCAGGTAATGTTTGCCCATGCAGTGGGTGTTGTTACAGGAGAGTGGCTCTGAGCTGAGGGAACTCAAATAAGCCTGCTTGCCCTTTCTCAAGAGAGAGACACTAGCTCTGTCTTCCAAAGCTCTACCCTCCCTTTTGTTCAGAGGGAAAGACTCTCTGAAGCTTCCCAGGTTTTCCCAGGTTATGCAGGCTTGAAAAGGAGTCTGGGAAAAGGACCGGTTAGTGCCTCGGAAACACACTCTCTGAAGCTTCCCAGGTTTTCCAAGGCTGTTCACTATGCAGGCTTGAAAAGGAATCTGGGAAAAGGACCGGTTAGTGCCTCGGAAACACAAGAGATCCATGGAGAACTGTCGTTCAGCATCGGTGATGGCTGAAACCCCTTTATATAAACAGTAGATATGAGACAAATTTTCTTCATGTTTAGAATATGGCCACAAAGGAATTTAAAAACATTGAAATGGGAACCAAATTATTTGACAGCTGCATTCAGAATGTTTTGGAGAGTCATAATCACATAGTTCTAGGAGGGCCTTAAATATATATAGTGCATAACACACACACACAGACACACACACATCTATAAAGCTTATTTTTACCTCCCCAATTAAAATGTAAATTTTTTAGAATGACTATATATACATATGCATATATATGTATATGTATATGTATATATATATGCATATATTTATTTTCTTATTCTGGTTCCTACATTACTTTGCACTAACTTAATAAAATTATGTAGGTCTGCCCTCCCACTTATTTTTTTTCCACATTGCCATGAGAACAACAACAAAAAGTGTGTTCCTGTAATCTGAGGGTTCCAATTGCCATAAATATGACAATATTTTCTTATCTTCAAGATCATTTATCCATGGGATGCAAGACAGTGCCCCGCACCTAGTAGAAGTCCGTGTATATTTTTGCATTGCGTGGACTTGAACTCAGGAGCCCGTTCTATACATGTCGTCAGCCAAAAGCTGCTCTCGCTCGGGAACACATGTTGTGCTTTGAAAATAGAAAACATTTCCTTTTCCTCAAACCAGTAGACAATAATTTCAAGCTTAAAGATTCCTGTTCTTTACGATGGTTCTGGTGTGTAGGCGCATACAACTGAGTGAAGAATTGGATATGTCTCAGGAATATTTGTTTTATTAGGAGAGAAGAAGTGAGTCAAAGAGTGTCTATTTTTTTTTTCTTCCTCTAAGAATGTCTCCTCTCCAAACGCCTCCCCGCCACCCCGCCCCCGGCTCATTTTCATCCCCTTCAATGGGAATGCAGCAGCCGGAGTTGACTGTTGAAATACACTATTCATGTAAGTTCCACCGGAGGCTGACAATGCTTTGGGAACACTGGTCTTCTTTTCTAAATTAAACATTGCAACAACGAATGCAGGAAGTACAGAATGTTTCCGTTCTCTTTCCACCTCAAAATCACCTCCTACAGGAACAAGCAGATGTGTGTCCATGTGAATTACCATCTACAAGAGCTACTCGCCAGGGTCTTGCACACAAAGGGTGGGAGGGGGCGTGGGGAGGCTGCAAGGGGACAACCCCCCGCCTGGCCGGGCGATGCCTGCC